ACAAAAAAACATTTATTACAGTAAAAGACACATTGCCATTAATCCCCCTCAAAATATTCCTCATCACATTGAACACACCCTGTTGTTCTTGCCACTTTCTGAAGCAGTTCTGGAAGCCCTGTTTCGTGAGTGTCTTTAGTTGCGCTGTCATGGCTGCCTCGATGTCCTGAATCATTTTGACTTTGGGGAAGAGCCAGAAGTCGCATGGGTGACAGATCCACTGAATAAGGTAGATGAGGACACACGGTAATGTTTATTTGACAGAAGTTGCCATATACCAGAAGCGATGTGTGACATGGAACGTTGTCATGATGGAGGGTGATTTATGGCACGCTTTAAAACACACCTCTCAGAATGAAATCTTACCATTTGCAACGATATGGATGAACCTAGAGAACATTATGCTAAGTGAAATAAGTCAGACTGAGAGAGACAAATACTATATGATCTCACTATATGTGGAATCTAAAGAATAGAATAAATGAAGAAACTAATCAGAAACAGTCTCAGAGACATAGAGAAAAAGCCTGAGAGTTGCTAGATGGGAGGGGGGTGGGTATGAGGGAGAAGGTGAGGGGATTAGACAGCATAAATTGGTAACCAGAGAATTGCCACAGGGATACGAAAGACAGTTTGGGGAATATAATCAATAATGTTGTAAAGATTTTGTAGGGTATCAGATGGACACTTGCTTATAAGGTAGACCACTTCATGGATGGTGTAGATACCTGACCACTGCAGTGTACACCTGAAGCTGAAGCTGAATAATAATGAATCTCAACTGTAATTATATGTGTGTGTGTATGTGTGTATATATATATATATATATATATATACACATATATGTGTGTATATATATATGTGTATATAGTCACAGGATGTGGAGTACAGCATAAGGAATAGAGTCAGTGGAACTGTAACAGCTATATAGGATGTCAGAGGGGTAGTAGATTGGGGGCAGGTGGTTATCACTTAGTGAGGGGTATAAATGTCAAATATTACATTGTTTTGTACACCTGAAACTAGAAAAAACAAAAAAGCATCTCTCAACCATAGCTCACACCTGACTGAACAAGTTGAAACTTGTCACACACTGTTACTAAGATTTGATACGCTGCTTCCAGTATTGAAGATCCCTGCCTTTCCATTGAGTGGCACTTGGCAACAGCATTTACTGTATCTTTTAATCACAACAGAAAGGCTCCATGTCACACATCACTTCTGGTACGGCAATTTCTGTCAAATAAAAACATTACAGTGCACCCTCATCCATCTTATTCACCGGATCTGGCACCGTGCACTTCTGACTCTTCCCCAAAGTCAGAATGACCGTGAAAGGTAAACGTTTTGAATTGATTCAGGCTGTCAAGGCAGCCATGACAGTGCACCTAAAGACACTCATGAAAGAGGACTTTCAGAACTGCTTCAGAAAGTGACAAGAATGATAAAATAAGTGTTTTCAAAGCGAGAGGGAGTATTTTGAGGGGTTTAATGGCAATGTGTATTTTACTGTAATAAATTTTTTAAATTTAAACATTCACTGTATATTTTGATCATACCTTCTGCATATATCTGATACATTCCTAATATAGCCTCATAAATATTATATTTAAGGATCAAAGACAGAGCCTAGGGATTTATATTTTATATATTTTCTCCTGATTTTTTTGAACAGTAGTTTTCAACACACATACCCAAACACCAAATTGTATTCAGAACCTTAATATGTGAAACACATTATTTGAGAGCCACACCTCTTGAAGAATTGGGGCCCAGAATATCCCCTCTCTCTTTGTACCCCGGTTTTCTATCTTTTCACCTTCCACCTACCTCTTTGTGACATTTCTGAGGAAATATAATCTGAAATCATTTCTAGGTAATTGTGTTCAGATAATATAGCTAGTCTTAATGGTTTGTCTGAATTAGTTTGATAGTGGAATATCTGTTTTAGTATTTGTTAAAACATTTAACCTCCAGGTGCCAGCTTGTTTTGGAATGCAGCAGGTGATGATCAAGAGGCTGAATCTCAGCTGAAGCAAGATGATACCAAGCTTTCCAGTGAGGACATGAATTTTTCTGTTAATATTAATAATGAAGTCACAAGTCCTCCAGGTAGTGCATCTTCATTAAAAGCAGTTGATATTCCCAGTTTTGAAGACAGCAACATCGCTGTGGAAGAATTCAGTCAGCCACTTTCAGTATCCAAGTAAGATCTCTTTGATTGAATATTCATCCTACTTCTTTTTTTCTTTTGAAATTGTAATACTGTTTTGGTGTTCTAACTCATATGTGCATACTAACCCAGGCATACATATACATCTACATTTATTTCTGTATGTATGTGACTATATTTGAAAAGCCTTGACTTCATACCAATCTTCTGATTCCAATCCTACACCCCTTTTTCTTATTTAAAAATATTGTATAAAGATTAAAACTTGTTTTTAAGAATATTTAATGGAAGGAAGGTACTCATGATAGAATATTAGGGTTTAAAAAGCGGCGTCCCAAACTATAATATGGTACAGATTTCAGAGAAAATACATATCTATAGAAAAAAGCATAGATGGAAATCCTCAATAATGTTAACAGTAGTTATCTCTAGGTATTAAATTACCTGTGACTTTTATTTTCTTTATTCTTAGTATAACTTTGAGCAGTTACCTAACACCTGTGGCTCATTTTTTTCACCTGTCAAATAGGGATAATATGTGGTTTCTCTCTCCTAGGTCTTTCTGGCCAGGAATATGTAAGATGATGCACTTGAAGCAGTGCCTGGCCTATCATAATGGGCCATAGTAGTAACAAAATTTCTGCTAGCTAAATTTATTATAACTTTTCTCTGTTTTCTACAATAGCCACAGATTACTGTTCTTACAAGAAATGTTTTTACATATTGTTTTTATAGTTATTTTTAAAATATATATTCTAATTTTGAAAATAATAAATGTTCATTGTATAAAATTTGAAAAATACATAAAAGCATAGAGAAGAAAAGAAACTTCACAAAGTATATAATGTGACTAGAAATGGCAACTTAGGAACTCTCATTTGACAAAGATCTTAACTACATGTATATTTTAAAACTTGAAGCGAACAAATAATATATTTAGAATTTTTAGGTACTCTAAAAATTTCTTTTGTACCAAGTTCAGGAGAAATCAACAGGCTGTTTTCCAATTTTCAAAGACAGTTGTCTGAATATATTATAAATAACATAACTCGAAAAGGTATCATGATCCAGCTTATATGCAGCCTATCAAGATGAGATGCTCATCACTTAAGAGCTGAAAATACAAACCAGAATCTGCTTGAGCCTTACCCCTTTCTTCCAACATTACTGCACTTCAAATATTCTAAGTTAAATATACCTTAGAAAAGTTAAAGGTACCTTGATACCTGACATTTACATTACATATATCCTTTCAAGCAGCTCTTCTCCGGTTATGAGAGAAGAACCTGACATGCCTGTGCTCTTTCCGAATTCCCCGCTGGCAGAGAATGTAAGCATGTGCTTACAGCATGGACCAACAGAGGGTGCTAGTAACAACTCTGTAACATCAGGGGAACCAAAAGTCGAGCAAGTATTGCAACCCTTGCCTCATCAACCATCAGATAACCAGAAAATATACCAGGATTTATTGGTAAGAAAATGTAAAGCATTTCATCTTTTGTGGGATGGTTATTTAGTCTAGGGTATACTAGTTAAGCCTTTCCTATCTTTAAATTGATAGGGACCTTGATATAAGAAGATTGTATGCAAATTAATGATGTATCATTTATTTCTTTTAGCTTTTCTTAAATTATGATAACCTAAATTCAGTAATTTACTATAAGCATGCCAATTATCAGGTACTTAGATGGCCAGGAAGCAAAGCACCATATTTTTAAAATATAAGTGTTGATATTGTGCCAAATTCAAACTAAAGTTAATACCATAAAAAACAAGCAAGAGGCTGCAGGAAGTTTGAACATTGGAAAGACATAGGATATTTATGATAATATTTACTGATTTCAATTCAGGGAAGCAGATTTTTATTGACTACTTAGCTTTGTCTAAGTGAACTAAGTAAAGTGGATAATATAAAGATGAATATGACAGTCTCTGCACTTGAGAACCTAGGGGAAATAACACATGGATACCAGACTGAGAAGTGCTGTAAGCAAAGGTAGCACAGAATAAAAAGGGATAATTCTGGTTGGAGAAAATAGTTGTCTTAGAAAAGTTAAGAATGTGATCTGGGACTTCAAGGTTGGAAACCCTCACTGTCTATTTCATTCAAATTGTAGACTTTGGAACATTTGATTTCTTCATTTAAAATTGAAGGCTAATTAAACATACTTCATAGGGCACTAAGTATTCATCAGTGAACACGTATTTTTTATTTGCCTGCTAGATCCTAGACTGGTACAAGCAACTGGGTGCTCAGGGAATGAAACATGCTTTAATGTCAAGAAGGCAGAGATAGTATCAAAGGTCATTCTCATTCAAAGTGAAAAAAGAAAGGAGTCAAATTCTGAAAGTAATAAAGATCTACGTATACAACTGAAATATTACCATTTTCAAATGAAAACATGCTTTAAAACTTTTGTTTATAAAGAATTTACTATAAATTCTTAAAAACACTTGAAAATATTACTCAGATGATTTTAAATCTGTTGGTTTTAAAATTAACAAGTTCTAAACAAACATTCTAACATTCTAAGTTTCTCTAAGGTCTGATGAAATAATTAGGATGAACTGTTTATAAAAACTTCATACTTGCAAATGTACTTGATAATTTGTAGAATAAGCAAGATACTATTTTGCTTTTCCCTTATGCTATTTACATTTTTGTTTCTTAATACTAATTTTTCCTTTTTTTAAAATTTTTCCTTTTTTTTTAAATTTTTTTTTCAGCTACAGTTGACATTTAATATTATTTTATATTAGTTTCAGATGTACAACATAGAGGTTAGACATTTATATAATTTATGCAGTGATCCCCTAGGTTAGTCTATCCATCTGGCACTATATACAGTTGTTGCAACAGTATTGACTATATACTCTAGGCTGTACTTATCCCTGTAACTTTTGGTTGTTGGAAAAGTCATGACGTATTTTTTCTATGTTTTTCGTTGCAAAAATGCGGCATGACTTTTCTGACAACCCAATATTTTGTAACTACCAGTTTGTGTTTCTTCATCCCTTCACCTTTTTTCACCCAGCTCTCCAACCTCCCTCCCCACGGGCAACCATCAGTTTGCTCTGTTTTGTTTTGTTTGTTTGTTTATTTTGTTCTTTAGATTTTCATATGAGATCATGTGGTATTTGTCTTTCAGTCTGACTTATTTCACTTAGCATAATAATACCCTCTAGGTCCATCCATGTTGTTGCATAGTGATTTTAAAAGTATGTCCTTTTTCTTTTCATCAGGGTCAAGTGAACCACCTATTAAATAACTCCTCTAAAGAAACTGAGCAACCATCTACCAAAGCAGTAATTATCAGCCATGAATGCACCAGAACCCAAAATGTTTACCATACAAAGAAAAAAAAGCATGATTCAGGACCAGTGGACAAAGACTGTGTTCTTAATGCAACCCTTAAGCAACTAAGAAGCCTTGGAGTAAAAATTGATTCTCCCACTAAAGTGAAGAAAAATGCACATAAAGTGGATCATGCCAGGTAACTTTAAAATTTGTTTTAAAAGATGAATACATTTTAGATGTATTGCAGCAGTCTCATGAGAAAAAGTATAAGCTTGCCACTCAGTTCAATTGATTTATCATTTATTCAGGGCCTGCTAAATTTATGATGAATAAGAAATCATCTCTACCCTTTAGAGTCTTCATTTTGGTAGGAGAGCGGGTTATATACATAAGTAATTAGAGAGATATTGTGCAATGTCTCCTGGGTAAAGATGCCAGTGAAATTCTCTGGGAGTCTTGGGGAAAGAGAAATGAGCTTTTATTCATTCCTGGTGTCTGGAAAGTCTTCCTGGAGGTGATCGTGTCTGTGCAGCTCAGCTCCTGGATGTACAGTTATGCAGTTGTGCCATCTAAAAGGCAAAAACATTCCTTTTTCTAGGAATGTGTTTTGAAGAGTAATCGTTACATGAACCTTACTTATTGCTCACCATTTTTAACTGGCCATGTTCTGTTCAGATTCCTCTTCATCAGGATGACTTTAGCACACACTTGCTTTTAAAGAGGATAAAATCTGGAAAATATATTATTAAGGTTAGCCTGTTAATTATTTTTATTGCTGTTTTCTAGTTACAAAAGTAATACGGTCTCATGATTTTTAAAAAGTATCAAATAATACACTAGAATATCAGATAAAATTCAAAACTCCCTACACCCCAAACTCCTCAGTCTGACTTCTCCAAGGTTACTTCTCATTTCCTTTGTATTCTTCTAGAAATGTTCGATTATATTCAAATATGTGTGTAAGTGTTGTGATTTGGGGTTTTTTTGCTTTATAGCTTACTTTATAGGAATATGCAGATCTTTGTCATGCATTTAAACAGCTGCATAATATTCTATTATACCCATGTACTATAATATAGTGAACCCCAGTCCTCTATTAATGACCTTTTAGGCAGAATCTCTTATTTCTTACCTCAAACAATGCCAAGTGAACATCATTCTACAGGTACTTGCACAAGTATTTTGGCATGATAATTTCCCACAAGTGGGCAAGATCGAAGGATATATGCATGTAAGATTTTGGTGGATGTTGCCTTGCCCACCAAAATAGCTGTACCGGTTTGTATTCCTCCCAACAGTGTAGGAGAGTAAGGCTAGTGTTTTTGAAGGTTAGATTTCAATACTGTGAGATAGAGGCTATATAGTGTCTGTTGAAATGCACAGATCATCCTGCTATCTATGTGGGACCCTTAAATTTTTGTATGGCTGCCTTTGGGGAATAGTTTTTAGTAATGTATTTCTTCACAGTGACCACCCTATTTTAATGTCTCTAGTGTGAAACATTGAAATTAACACATTTTTGTGTATAATGAACTTGATTCATTTTTTAAATGCCTGGAATGAAATAGAAAGTAAAGACTTTCTGGTGTATCAGTGTGAGATAGTCAAATTGTTTTAATCAAGATTGTTTTCCTCTTAATTTAAGTAAGAATTTATGTTATAAATTTATACTATAAAAATAATACATGCTAAGGATTGGAATTTTTAAAAATGAAGACAATGTCACCTGATCTGATAAGACCCAAAGAAAATCAGCTTTTTAGCAAACAGTTGCAGTTTTACTTTGTATACAGTATTATTTTTCTTTGCATAACATTATTAAATATTCATTTAATATTGTGGGCTATACCCATTTTTAAAATTCGATTATTTCTGTGAGTTGAAAAATTCATAGATACGCATTCATAGGTAGGATTTTAGTTTCATATAAGATAATTTTCTGAAGGAAGTGAAAACAGGTATGAAAAACAATTGTTTTCAGTTTAAAGCAATATGTTGAATCAAGTATTTCCATAAAAGTAAGCTGGCAAACTTTTCACAATAGCATAGCTATATCTTGATATGAAAAAAATATTTTTAAGGTTTTATTATATAGTATAAATTCTTACATAAAATATTGTAGAACTCTGGAAATAGAGTCTGGTATTTGTTTTGTTTCCATTGTCAAAGAAATACAGGCCTATTTTGGAAACTTTGGAAAAATAGACCCAAAAAAACCTGTATTTGCAACAAACTGAATTATTAATATTTTGCTTTTGTATTTCCTGTTATTTTTTTTTCCTAAAATAATTTTAGCAGCAACCATTTACTGAGTGCTCATAATGTGTCAGGAATGATGCCAAAGTTTTATGCAGCATCATTTCATTTAATCCTTAAAATAATCTGTGTGGTAGGTACTACCGTTATTCTTGTTTTATAGATGAGGAAATTAAGTACCAATTTGCCCAAGGCCCCACACCTGTGAATTTAAACCTATCTTTTCTAACCCCAAAGTTCATAGTTTTGTTTGTTTGTTTGCTTGGGGGAAGGGGGTTTGACTGTTTTGCTGTACTGCTTACTGCTTGTTTAATTTTTTAGTGGGGTCTGATGGTCGTGTATCAGTCCTGCTTTGTGTTTTGATCATGCTGTACATACCCCCCAAAAAAAGTTTTTTTTTTGGCTTTACATTGGGAAATAAGCATGTTTTCCAAGTTGTTGTAACCCTTTCTGAGCATCATTTTTAATTGGGATATACGAGGTGTAATCAAACAATATGATGAATGTTTAAATTTAAAAAAATTATTACAGTAAAAGACACATTGCTGTTAATCCCCCTCATAATACTCCCTATTGCTTCGAACACACTTATCCCATCATTCTTGCCATTTTCTGAAGCAGTTCTGGAAGTTCTCTTTTGTGAGTGTCTTCAGTTGCGCTGTCGTGGCTTCCTCAGTGTCCTGAATCATTTTGACTTTGGGGAAGAGCCAGAAGTCACACGGTGCCAGATCTAATGAATAAGGTGAATGAGGACACACCATGTTTATATTTGACAGAAATTGCCATATACGGAAAATGTTGTATGACACAGAGCATTGTCATGATGGAGGATGATTAACGGCACTTTAAAACACACCTTCTCTCAACCGTAGCTCACACCCGACTGACTGCACCAAACAAGTTGAAACTTGTCACACACTAAGGTTCGATGTGCCCTTTGTGCATCCAACGGATGGCACTCGGCAGCAGCATTCACCATATTTTGTGATCACAATGGAAAGACTCTGTGTCACACATCGCTTCTGGTATACTGCAATTTCTGTCAAAAGCATTATGGTGTGTCCTCATCCACCTTATTCATTGGACCTAGCACCGTATGACTTCTGGCTCTTCCATAAAGTCAAAATGGCCATAAACGTTTTGAATCGATTCAGGACATTGAGGCAGCCGTGACAGCACAACTAAAGACCCTCATGAAAGAGGGCTTCCAGAACTGCTTCAGAAAGTGGCAAAAATGATGGGATAAGTGTGTTCGAAATGAGAGGGAGTATTGTGAGGGAGATTAATGGCAGTGTGTCTTAATAAATTTTTTTTTTAATTTAAACTTTCACTGAATTTTTTGGTCACACCTCATATAATCCATTAAGTGGAGCATAGCATTTGTTTACCTAACCCTTCCCTTGTCAGAACAAAAAGATCTTGTCAAGTCGGTTCTGATGTCTTATTATTCTAAATGTTTCTATGATGAACATCTTTTTGCAAAGATTGCGTCTTTTAGCATTAAGATTATTTCCTTAGAGTCTCAAAAATGGAAAGTCTAATTCAAAATGGTAGGAAAATTTAAAGCTGTTGCTCCATTGCTTTCTGAAAAAGTAAGGTTTTACATCCCTGCCAACTATTGGGTTGTCAGAAAAATCATGACGTATTTTTTTATATGTTTTTCGTTGCAAAAATGCATCATGACTTTTCCAACAACCCAATATATGTATTACTATTTCACCAATACTTTCACTCATTTTACTTCAATAAATACGTATAGAGCTTCTACTATGAGCCAGCTATGAGAGAGATCATGGTATCCAAAATAACCTGGTAAAGAAATCTTTGCCCTCATAGAGCTTACAGTTTAATGAGCAAGATGCACAAATAAACAGTCAATTATAATATATTCTGATATGTGCTATGAAAATACATAGGAGAGGTATCTAACATTAGCAATGTTTTCATTCTATAATTACCCTACATTAAAATTGCCTTTTTAAAAGATCTGTGCTAATTTAGATCCAAAATAAATTATTTTTAATTTATATTCCATTGATTATTAATGGGTTCTGTATATTATAGTGATTAAAAATGAAACTGCATTGAAACTATTTCTCCAAAATGTCATCACTGAAGTTTACAATGAATACTTTATTTTTAATACCTTTAATATTTATTGTCAGTATTTATGGCCTTGTATTGTTATCTTTTAACATGTATCATAATCTTTATAATCCTCATGATCCATACTGTTCCTCTAGTCCTGTAAACCAGCTATCCTTTGACATTCTATCTATATCCAGTTCCAGTTCTGGACTCCAGGAGCCGATTATCCTACCAGAAGAGTACCTGAGGCAGGGGGAGGAAGATTTCCTTTCTGCTTTCCTGTTACAGAACACTGCAGGGATTAACAGAGTCCAAAAGCAGGAAAGCAATGAAACGGTCCCAGACATACCTAGAAATTGTAGGGAAGTTGGAGATTTGGGTTTGAGGTCTTGCTACAGCCTCTACAGGCAGAGTCCCAATTGGAGTGACCTTTTGAATTCAAAACATCTTAAGCAGTCTCTCTGTTGCTTTCTTGCTCTCTACTTATTAGTTGAAAACCCTGTGTAGGATAAATACGAGATAACTAATTGAGATTCAACCAAGACTGTAAGTTAAGCTTGGTGTTCATCTTTAAATTGGAATGATTTTTGAGCATGTGATTTTAATTGTTGGCATGTGATTTTCATACTTAGACATAAATGAACTCACATTATCCCTTTGTGACTGCACATATAATGAGATTCTAAAATTGTGTATTTGTGGTCAATTCAAGGCTTTTAGGATTTAATTGGTGGAATGGCCTCCTTTTGCTTTTCATCTTACCCTAATGTTTCTGTACATTGGTTCTGAGTATTATTGATTTGTTTTGTTTTCAAAGCAATGATGATTCCCCCAACTCCCAAATTGAAACTGTGTTAGACAATGAAACTTGAAGAACCTTCTAAACTGACATTGACTGCTTCGTGGATTTATATGATCCTTGAACCAATCTATAAAAGAAGATCTAATTTAAATTAGACCTACTTTTTCTAAATATTTAATATTTTGGATTAGAAGTTATTTGCTTTTTCAAATTATTTACATTAATATTATTTATAGATATTATATATTTTTTAGTATGTACAAGTTTTCTGATTTAATGTGCAAACTGCTTTTTACTTTTGAAGAAATAAAGAAAGAAAGCAGAAAAAGACTGTATATTCAGAAGATATTATCACCATAATCTATCATAAACTAATAATATCTAGATAAATTGGTAGTATCTCTTCCATCTTATTAAGACAGTCTCCAAAGCATTAGGTACCAAAGAAGGTTAAGGAAGAATTCCTTATCAAGACCAGCATTATTGAGCTTGCTGTCCCATTGTTTGGTGATGACATCACTTTTTTCGGGGAATATTAATGATGAGAATGAAAATACCTGATAGTTATTTGGATTTTGTGAGGGTGAGGATGCAGACAGTGTCTGACACTTATAAAATAGCTGAATTTTTTTATTGGATGATGTGGAAAGTCATAGCATATTTTTTACTAGAATATACAGTTCACTACAACACACAGTGCACAAAGGACTCTGATTTTTAGGGAACAGAAAAACTCTGATGGCAAAATATAAGTTGCTGAAAATAGTGTAGTGAAACAAGGGTTATAGAGCCCCAGAGAGTAAGGCAGACCTGATCTCAGCTTGCCAATTTACTAGCTGTTCAACATAAGAAAATTAGTTTAAAAATCTCTATTCAGTTTTCTGAACTGTAAAATAAATATAATAATAGTACCTACTTCTTTTATTCATTCGGTAAATATTTATTGAGTGACTACTGTGTGCCAGGCACTGTTTCAGCCACCAGGGATACTGCATTGGGGGAAAGAAACAGATAAAAAGTCTGCCCTCGTGGGCTTTCATGAGGGAGCTAGACAATAAATAAGGAATATAAGTTAAATATATAGATAGCTATAAGTGGTAAGAAGAAAACAGAAAAATAGGGGAAGGGAAATGTGAAGTATTGAAGTGGAGAATTAAGTTGAAATATTTGATAGGGGTGACCTCCCTGAGAAAGGTTTCTGTGAGGATTAAATGAGATAGTGAATGTTTAGCAGAGTGCCTGGCAAAGATATGGCATCCATAAAAATTAGCAACTGTTATTGCATATATGATATAAAGGGAAAGGCAATTCAATTAGTTGAGATTAGTAATGCCAGCCAAAGCGAGTTGATAATCTAATGAAAGAAAATCAGTGTATATACACAGTAGTCCATATCCAGAGACTGGTTCATGTTTTTCATTCATTACAAATAAAATCTCTTCAACTGTGAGCAATTTAATATTCCAACCTACTCACCAAAGCTTGTATTGTTATATTATCAAATGCGTTTTCTGTTTGATTTTATTTTTGTTTTACTTTACCAATATTGAATGACTTTTACATTTTGTGACCTTGTATTTTGTCTTAAAAACATGACTGATTTATAAATTTAGGAATATTAATTTGTGTTTCACTTTCAGCCTGTGAATTCATGGATTATCGTCTAGGTTATCATATTTATCCCTTGAATATATCTGGATTATCAAGACTTAAATGTCTGAGCACTCAGATAAAAAAGCACCATGAGGCTTAAAGCCGAAAACCTTTTGTTACTTTCATAGACTGGAACACATTTAGAATAACACTATTTTGTATTTAAAAATAAGATAAATGATGGCCTACTCCATTGTGTCTTTCAGTGTGTTGGCATGCATCAGCCCTGAAGCAGTGATCTCTGGATTAAACTACATGTCATTTGCTAATGTTGGCATGAGTGGCTTAAGCCCCAATGGTGTGGATTTGAGCATGGAGGCAAATGCTATAGCTCTGAAATATTTAAATGAAAATCAGCTGTCACAACTGTCTCTCACTCGATCAAACCAAAATAACTGTGACTCATCTTTTAGCCTTCTACATATAAATACAGACAGAAGCACAGTGGGGCTTAGTTTAATTTCACCAAACAACATGTCACTTGCAACCAAAAAATATATGAAGAGATATGGACTCATACAAAGCAGTGACAATAGTGAAGATGAAGAGGAGCCTTTGAACAACTCAGATGACAAGAGTGAACATTTACTAAATCAAAACCTCACATCCATCCCCGAACAACCTGATTGTCAGAAGGAGCCGTCCAGGGGTGCCTGCAAAATAATTAATTATTATAACTGTGAATCCGTGGGCACCCACACAGATTCGTCCGTATTAAGAAATATTACAAATGAAGTTGTGCGGTCAAAACCAACACAGCGGTTGAATGAAAACCCAACATTCTTATTAACGAACCTAAAACCAAGTCCTGCAATGAAACTCCGAACTGGAAAGTCAGAATTTACCCAACACCCTGAAAAAGAAAATGAAAGGGACCCTCCAGTTTTTCCTGAAAGTTTGAAACCTTCTGAAACTTCAAAGCAAATGAATAGTATGAATTCCGTAGGCACCTTCTTAGATGTAAAGCATCTCAGACAGTTGCCAAAATTATTTTAAACCCTTTAACTCCCTGCCCTCTTGATAGGAGGACAGGGTGTCTTCTGAAGGTACTCGGAGAAGCCAGAGCTTTCGGTAGTTTTGGGATTCCTAATCATTCTAGGGGTCACCCTGTTTCTTGGTAGCAGCTGATTGCAAAGAGCTGAACAAGTGACCTGATTGTTTATGAAATGGCTGGCTAGTAGGAGGAGGGCTAAGTTAAGTTCTCTTTGTTTCAGTAGAGCTGTTCAGTGTCACTGAAACCTTTTTTTAAAAAAATAAACCCTGAGATCAGTTATTTGAACAAATTTAGGTAAACAGACACTATCCAGCACGGAATCTGAACTGCTCTTTATACTGTACATTTTGAAAAGTAAGTCTGTTTTCCTAGCATGTTGCATCTCTGCATCTACCCAGGATCACCTAAAAGAACATAAAGTTATCATGACCCTGACTAAATTGGCTAAGTCAACCCTTATTGAATTTAAGGGGAAAGTTTTATTTTTTTTAATAATTTAAGATCTTTTATACAAGGAGTGTGTATGTCTTCTTAAGATGCATATTTGTTAAATTCTGTGGAAGTAAAACTTTTGCATTCGGGTGGGTTGATGTTAGTGTAACGTTTTCAGCATATAGCACTATCACAGAATAAGAACATTGGATATGAGTGTGTTTTGTAAACTTTGTGAGTTTTTCAAATGTTTTAATTTTTTAATAGAACTACAATGTCTATTAAATTTAATTAAAATGTCTAGATTGACTGGTTTCCTTTGTTCTCTGCTATCACTTATCCTTTTTCAATGAAAAAAACCCCAACTTTTTAGACTCCCAGAAAGTTTCAAAAATAGTACAGAAAGTTTCAAAAATAGTACAGAGTTCAGGTATACTCTTCACCCAGCGACCCCCAATAATAATTAATATCTTACATAATGACAGTAAATTATCAAAACCAAGAAGTTGACGTTGGGTACAATATTAGTAACTAAACCACAGACCTTTCAGGCTTCACAAGTTTCTACACACACATTTATTTACTTTTCAGTGTATAGCTCTATGAAGTTTTATCACTTATTTTGCATGACCACCACCACAGTCAGCATGCGTGTTCCATCACTAAGAAACTCTCTAATGCTACCCTCCCTCCAACCCTAACCCCTAAAAACCAATGGTCTGTTGTGTATCACTGGAATTTTTGTCATTTTGAGAATGTAAAAATACTTTTTTTTTAACGAAAGTTTCCACATTCCTCGTAATGGAATAGTTTGCTTTCTTTTTTTTTTAAGGTTTTATTGGGGAAGGGGAACAGCCAAGTTGTTGTCCTTCGATCTTAGTTGTGGAGGGCACAGCAAGCTCAGCTCCAAGTCCAGTTGTACTGCTCAGCTCAAGGTGCCGAGTTCAGTCTTTAGTTGTGGGTGGATGTAGCCCACCATTCAAGCCGGCAGCCTTGTTAGGAGCATGTGCTCTCACCAGCTGAGCCATCCTGCCACCTGTTGGCTGCTCAGTGGCAGCTCAGCTCAGGGCACATCGTCACTGGCCCATGTGGGAATCGAACCAGCGACCTGTTGCTCCAAGCTCACGGGCAAGCTTGTAATCAACTGAGCCACTCGGCCGGACCCATAAAATTCTTAATTTAACAATGAGGATGTTAATATAAATGGAATGCATCTCAAATTGTTGAGTGTATCAATAGTTGCTTCCCATTTTCCTCCACCTTAGATTCTTAGATATTAAGTTTTAAATTGTTATTTCTCAATATAAATGAAAAAAATCCTCATTCACATGAGAAAGTTCTGCTGAAGTTCAATTAAGATGTCATTGGCTTACATCAAAGTTTCATATATAAACTGGAAAGAAATGGACTTTGGATCTCTAAATACTTTCCAACCCAGCTGGGGCTTTCTGAGGTGATAATCTCATAAAACAATTTATAGCTAGCAAGCCCGAGTATAGTAACATGGTGGCTCTCTGCTGTTCCCCATGGAGCCAGGGACCCATCTGTGCATTTTTCCCTGCAGCATTGCTCTTTCAGGTTATAATTGAGATGAGTAAATGGCAAGGATGATGATTATATTTCCCTTTGTTTCCATAGGCATTGTTTGAGGGGTTAGTTATTTTAATAAATAGCATAAAAGTCCACTTACACATTTCATTGGTGTAAATTTTTAACAGAATTGTCAAAGCCACTTCAAGTGTGTTCTGTTTAACTTGAGCCCTCAGTGTTTCTCCCAGAAGCGAGTGTAGATAGAACTTGTGTTACGCATTACTGAAAAAACAGAATTTAGTGAATTAACTGACAGCCTCATTACCTATACCATTATCACTGGGAACCCTGTAATTTTCACACCAGACAAGCTCTCTGAACAACAAAAACAACCTGAGGCTTTTTAGGCAAAATCTAATTCCATCACTTCTGTTACTATCACCTGTGATAAAACGGTTAAGCGGTTTTGGAGACTGAATTTAGACTGCAGATAATTTGAACAAGTTTTTCCTACTAAATACATGTCCAGAAAAGAGAGACCATTACTGAAACCTACTCTAGAAAGTTCTCAAAGAAGAGTATTTTACTATGAGAAGTTATTTGGCAAATTAGTTGCTATGATAGCTTTTAGACATGTTTGGAAAAAGCATTAGTACTGGGAAAATTGGATTAAAAGACTGGAGATTTTTTTATTGCCTCTCGAGTGACATCTGAATTTTTCACCCAGTCCCCTGACATACTGTTTACAAGGTCTGACAATTAAGTTCGCGAACTCATCCTAGAAACAGTGCTACATACCTCATTGCTGAATATCACTATGGTCACCTTCGGAGTACTCCCTTTGGGAAGCTGTGCACCAACACCAGAGCCTAGTCCACCCTTCAAAGCAATTTTGGAACTCCCTAGAATGGCCATCAGAGCTGTCGTCGTATTACCCTTGATGTCCTGAATTTTATCAAAATGTCTTCCTTTCCATATTTCTTTTATCTTCAAGTAAAGAAAGAAGTCACTGGGGTCAGATCAGGTGAGTAGGGAGGGTGTTCCAATACAGTTATTTGTTTACTGGCTAAAAACTCCCTCACAGACAGTGCCATGTGAGATGGTGCATTGTTGTGATTCAAGAGCCATGAATTGTTGGTGAAAAATTCAGGTTGTTTTTGTCTTAACTTTTTCATGCAGCCTTTTCAGCACTTCCAAATAGTAAACTTGGTTAACTCTTTGTCTAGTTGGTACAAATTCATAATGAATAATCCCTCTGGTATCAAAAAAAGGTTAGCAATGTTGTTTTGACTCATGATTTGGACTGACAGAACTTTTTTGGTCATGGAGAATTGACTGATTTCCATTGTGAACTTTGACGCCTTGTTTCAGGGTCGTATTGCTACACCCATGTTTCATCACCAGTGATAACAAGGCCCAAAACATCGTCTTGCCTCTCCAAAAGGTCTTGGCAAACTGTGACTCTCCTTTGCTTTTGTTCATTGGTGAGCTCAGCTCCTTCAGGACCATTTTAGCACACACCTTTCTCATGCTAAGATTTTCAGTTAAGATTTTCCTGTTTCTCTATCGATGTTTATTCGGTCTGCTGTGCTTCTCACAGTCAGCCAACAATTTTGATGCACAATTCGACATTTTTGCAATGTTTTCGTTGCTCGATACTGGCCGCCCTGATGTCTCTTCATCAGTGACACATTCTCTCCCCTTAGAAAAACGTTTAATCCATTTGTAGACTGCCGTTTTCTTCATGGCATTATCTCCATAAACTTGGACTAACATGTCCCTGAATTCACTTCCACTCTTGCCAAGTTTTACAAGAAATTTAATGTTTGTTCGTTGCTCTAATTCAAGCTCACACATTCTAGTGATGGCACACAAAGCATACAACAATAATAAACACCACTCAGCAAGACACTGCCACACGTCGACACAAACACAGCTGTGACACACTGATATACAAGGTTATGAAAACTTACTGAGCTCTTGTACAGTGTTGCCAATGTAAGTACACGATGGCAAGTTTGCAAACTTAATTGCCATGTGGGTGCTACTTCAAATGGAATAAGGAAAAACAGTGGAACTTCTATTATCTAGCTTCTGGGAAAAATTAGCCTGGTCCTAGCCAATTGGCACCCTTCTCCCTCACCAAACGTCCCCTCCCTCAGCCTCTGAGCCCCTTGCTGGCATGCTCACTTGTCCTCTGCCTCGCTTTGCCTGTGCTACAGCCTCACAGACGTGGATGTAGACATGTTAGACATAAGCCTTGCCCTTTGCCAGCTGTAAAGAGTAGGGCAAACACATACACCCTGGAAACAGTCACACAACAGTATATGATGAAAAGCTAAAACGAGTGATCCAGACTGTAAGGAACCACAGCAGTGTAATCATAATAGCTTCCATCTTTTTAGGACTCACCACATGCTCATAGGACGCTGCGCAGAGCACTTCACTTGCACTAGTTCATTTAAGCCTCCTGGCTGAATCCAGCTGGCGATTGTCATTCTCATAGATGAGGAACAGCCTTAGGGAAGTAACGTACCCAAGTAAGTTACTACAGAGATTCCTGCTCAAGTATAACTCCAGAGCTCAAGTTCTTAAGCCATTGAGAAATATAAGTTCTCAGGCTTGAGGAATTCAAGAAGAGCGTCCTACAAGAATCAGATCTTGAGCTGAATGAATGATTTTGAATACTACAGTCAGTGCTGTCTTGAAATACACTGTCCTCCAAGCTCCCCTGCTGTGTATTTTCCCCCAAGAAGGACTCCCCTTGCCCTTTAGCTGAGACCAGAAACTTTTTTTTTTTACCCACGAGTCCTGAAGTAGGCAACCCTGGCTATCTACAAGTATGTCAATGTTAATGGGTTCACTTCAGTGATTTTCATGGTGGTAACCTACAAAGGCTCCAGGAAATTAGAGGAACAAAAGATTTTCTGTGCCTTATTTTCTAGATATTACTCAAGGGCAGAACCTGTCTTAGCCTCCTAGATGAACTGAGATGTCTTTTTTTTTTT